TTGTGTTTTATTGACTATACAAAAGCATTTTGACTGTGTGGATCATAACAAATTGTGGATAACTCTGAAAAGAATGGGAATTCCAAAAAATTTAATTGTACTCATGAGGAACCTGTACCTTGATCAGGAGGCTGTCATTCAAACAGAACAAGGGGACAATACATGGTTTAAAATCAAGAAGGGAGTGCATCAGGGTTGTATTCTTTCCCCATACTTATTCAATCTATATGGTGAGCAAATAATCTGAGAAGCTGGACTATATGAAGAACAATGTGGCATCAAGATTGTAGGGGGAATCATTAACAACCTGCGATATGCTGACGACTAACTTTGCTTGCTGAAAGTGAGGATGACTCGAAGCACTTACTGATGAGGACTGAAGAATACAGTCTGCAGTATGGATTACATTTCAATATAAAGAAAATAAAAATCCTCAGAATTGGACCGATAAGCAGCATCACTATAAAGGGAGAAAAGATTGAAGTCAAAGACTTCACATTGCTTGGTTCTACAATCAACGCCAATGGAAGCAGCAGTCAAGTCATCAGACGACATGTAGCATTGAGAAAATTAGCTGCAAAGGACCTCTTTCAAGTGCTGAGGAGCGAAGATGTCTCCTTGAGGACTAAGGTGTGCCTGACACAAGCCATGATATTTTCAATCACCTCATATGTATGTGAGAGCTGGACAATGAATAGGGAAGACTGAAGAAGAATTGATGCTTTTGAGTTGTGGTGCTGGCAAACAATTCTGAAAGAACCAAGGACTGCTAAAAAAACTAACAAATCTGTCCTGGAGGAAGTACAGCCAGAATGCTTCTTGGAAGTGAGAATGGCCAGACTTCATCTCACTTACTTTGGTCATGTTATCAGAAGGGACCATTCCCTGGAAAAGGATGTCATGTTTGGTAAAGTGGAGGGTCGACAAAAGAGGGGAAGGCCCTCAACGAGATGGATTGACTCAGTGGCTGGCATAGGACGGGGCAGTGTTTTGTTCTGCTGTGCGTAGGGTCACTATGAGTCGGAGACCACTCGACAGCACCTAATAACAACAACAGCAATCAAGTGCAAATTCTTTGCCCCACCCAGGGATCTGTTTGGTACACAGAAAACAAAAACCAAACCCACTGCCACAGAGTTGATTCTGACTCAGAATGATCCCCATTGGGTTTCCAAGGCTGTAAATCTTTATGGAAGTAGATTGCCTCATCTTTCTCCTGCAGAGTGGCTAGTGGGTTTGAACCATGAACCTTCTGGTTAGCAGCCAAATGTCTTACATGCTATGCCACCAGAGTGCCTTTTGGCACAGGACTTTCTTCTGTGGTGTTGCCATCAATCAATTCCAAATTATAGTGACCCCCATTGGGGTTTTGAGATTGTAAATCTGTACAGAAGTAGATTGCCCAGTCTTATGTCCACAGAGTGGCTGGTGGGTTCAAACCACCAGCCTTCTGGTTAGCAGTCAGATGCCTTAGTCACTGTGCTACCAGAGCTCCTTGTTTGGCACATAGTAAGTGTTCAATAAATGCTGGTTCATATTACTACTATTATACTGTGTAATCTGTTCTACAAATGGAAAAGGTAAAGCTCAAATAGGGGCAAGGATGAGCTCAAAGTCACTTAGTGCCAGAGCAGGGATTCACACCCAGGAAATCTACCACATCTGGCCTTGGGTGTGCTTCTCTTCCTTCTTATGAAGTCCTTGGTGCTGTCAGGAGGACCAACTTTAGCTCTGGTGGTCTCCTTTGCTAGACGAGTGTCATCCTTGCTTTAAAAGCTCTTGTGCCCTCAGGATGCTCTCATCTATGACTGTCAAGTTTACCTTCTCTGAAGGCTCCTGGCTTAGAGTCTCCCCACAGGGATCCAGGGATGGTCTCGGGATAAGATCTCTATCCTGATAGATTCAGTGTAACCCTAATCACCTTTCTAAGTCCTGAACCAAAGGCTACATAAGAACCACCACTAAAGAGCGTGGATAGTTCCATTGGCTCATCATCACCATCATCAAAATTATCATCTTAGTTTATGAGGAAAACAAAAATTTGAAGTTAATTTTAGTCCTTATGATCCCTGGGAGCTATAGCAACCAATCCAATAAAAATATACATATGTCCAGATGGCAAACAGATATCTGGAAGTTAGCCAGCACTCTGTATTGAACAACTGAGACAAAGCATCATTAGCTTTTGCACCAGGCAGAAGCCTTAGGGATCATCTAGAGCAATTCAAGACTTTTCTTGACTTATTGACCCTTTTGAGAACCTGATGGAAGCCATGGTCCTTTGTAGAAAAATGCACAGACACTCATGTGCATTCATTGTAGAAAAATGCACACTCATATACCACTTTTAGCCAGTTGACCTTGGGCAAGTTATTTACCTTCTATGAGCCCCTTTTTCCTTATCAGTGAAATGGGCATAATAATAATAATAATAATAATAATAATACCAACTGAAATTGGTTACTGTGATAATTATTAAGTCCCCAGTAAGCATTGGTTTTACCACCCATCTCAAACATTTACACTGATTTTTGGCAGGTCCAATGACATCTTGAAGATCAGTGTTAAGCACTGTTCTAGACTATAAAAAGTCAGCTATCTCAGTTTTCAGAGGGGTAAACAGAAGCCCATTTATTCATTGAAACAAATATTGATTGACAGCAAACTCTGTGTTGAGTACTGTTCCAGGTGCTCAAACACTGCAATGAAGAAGACATGTGAAGCTCCTGTTCTCATGGAACTTCTGACTGGTGGTAAAGGCAAACAATTTCTGAGAGTGGCAAGACCTATGAAGGAGATAAAACAGTGTAAGGGATGAACTATGCCTGTGAGAGAGGCAAGGAGACTGATTCAAGTTGGTGGTTACAGGGAGAGTCTCTTTGAGGAGGTGACATTAGAACAGAGACCTGAAGGATAAGAAAGATCTGGACACAGGAAAATCAGATGGAAGGGGTGTCCCTGGCAGAGGTAAGAGCAAGTTCAAAGGCCCTGAGGTGGGAACAACTTTGTAATAGCTGTGGAACTGAAAGGAGCAGAATGACTGGAGCAGAATGAACAAAGAGAGTGATAGAAGGACAGGATGGTAAGAGGCCAGGGACAATCATGCAAAAATTATCATACGATATTCTCTGCCTTCTCCCTTTCCATGTTATTCAAACACAACCCATCCTTAAGGCCATCTCTTCTAAGAGGTCTTCTCTGCCTGCTCTAGCCAAAAGAGCTCTCTGGCTCCCCAGAACCCTTAGGATAAGACTTAGAGTCCCTGGGATAAGCCTTGGAGTCTGTACCATTTCCATCAATGGAAGTATATATGAGGCATGTCCTCAGAAGAAAAGCCAAAGTTCCCTGAAGACAATGACCAGGCAATTAATTCTTATATCTCCTCCAGAGTGTTAGACATGCAACTAAGATCCATTGCACTGAGCAGCTTATATAGGCTAACAGTGAACCAAGTAGAACATAAAATCTCACTGTGTGGAATCAATGTCTGCATATACTTTTAACCAGTTGACCTTGGGCAAGTTACTTACCTTCTATGAGCCTCTTTTTCCTTATCAGTGAAATGGGCATAATAATAATAATAATAATAATACCTACTGAATGGAGGTTACTGTGATAATTATTAAGTCCCCAGGAAGCATTGGCTCTACCACCCATCTCTCAGTTTGTCATACTGTGGTGGCTTTTGGATTGTGGTGATGCTGGAAACTATGTCATCAGGGGTCACTAGACAGGTTTTAGCAGAGCTTCCAGACTAACACAGACTAGGAAGAAACTCTCTCACTCAAACTCACTGTGGTCGAGTTGGATCTGACTCATAGCGACCCTTCCTTGGGTTTCTGAAGCAGTATCACTATGGAAGTAGATTGCCCAACCTTCCTTCCGAGGAGTCACTGGTGGGTTTGAACTACCAGCCTTCTGGTTAGCAGTCAAATGCCTTAGGCACTATGGCACCAGAGATTAGGAAGAAAGGCCTGGAAATCTGGATCCAAACATTAGCCAATGAAGAGCCTGTAAATCACAACAGAATATTGTCTGAAGGCATTTGACTGCTAACCCGCCAGTCACTCCTCGGATGGGAGGTTGGGCGACTATGAGTTGGATCCGACTTGATGGCAGTGAGATAATGCTGGAAGATGAACCCCTTAGGTTGGAAAGTAACAATGGACACAAGCCTGCCAGTGATGATGATGGTGCAGGGCCAGGCAGTGCTTCATTCTGTTGTACATGAGTTGCCATTAGTTGGAACTGACTGGAAGATAACTAACAACAACAACAAAAACATTGGCTATTGTTACTACTATGATTACATCAATGTCACCAATCACCTTACCTGTTCTGTACTGATGACACAGGTCCCCCAGCTAGAAGTCTAATCCTTTTGTATGTTAGTGCTACAACAAGAGTTAGAGTGTTTTTTTATTTTTTAAACCACACCCCAAATCAGCCACAATGATGCCACCAGTGGCAGCACATTTTATCTATACAGAAGGCGAAGCCTGGCCTTGGCCTTTGTCACAGATAAATTCCTACAAACAATTTGAATTGCTTTACCCTCCTCTGCATGGCTTGACATTAGGGAGGGCTCTTGTAGAGATCACTGGTCATGAAGTCAAGGCACTGGGCCTGACACTGTCCCTGGGGGTAAGCATGGGATCCTTTGTTCTCTTTGGGCCTCAATTCCCCTCTGAACAAGGAGGAGGCTGTTCTAGATGATTCCTATGACCCTTCCAACCGTGGCATTCTGTGAGTCTGTTTAGGCAGCAGCTCCAGAACAGATGAGGTAGGCGGGATTGGGGAGTCTGGTCAGGACAGCCCACCGCAATGAGAGGAAGAAAGAAATGAAAGACATAGACAGCTTTGGCTGTGGGGAGAAAGGGGGAGGCTGGAGGAAGGAGGAGACAAGGGAGGAGGAGGGACCATGGGGTGGAGGGGCAGATAGACCCAGCCCTGAGCTCTGAGTGGTTTCCTGTTGCCTGGCTCTAAACCCCTTCACATTCCTGCAGACCTTCAGACTGCCCAGAGAGCACTCTGCCTGCTGCCTGCCTGCCACCGAGGTATGTATGACCCTGCCCTGCCTTTCCTTTCTATAGTTGCATCAGCCCTACATCCTTGGTCCACTCCTCTAGCTTCTATGCAAGGGAAGAGAGCTGTGTTTGGAAGTCAGGGATGGGGAACATGCATCTCCTGGGGGCTCCATCACCACTCTCCCCTTAAGGGCTGGATCCCTAGATCCACTGCCTGTTGCTTTGAGAAGGCTGAGTCATGGTATAACCTGGGCTCCCTTTTAGGTTTGCGGGAAATAATCTCACTGTGTCTTCGGAAAGTATTCCCTCTCTCTCTCCCTCGTTTCAGAGGCTGCCTGCCAGTCCTCTTTGCTCCCTTTGCAAATGTGGCAGGCCCTCCTATCCTGGGAATCTGATCTGGTCACAGCTGCGGCAGCGACTGGCTGCCAGCCGGAGTCTGCCCTACTCCCTAGACTTGGTTCTTGATCAGGGGCTCTGTTTTGCAAAAGGGACTTTGTGTAAATGATAAGTTGATCGCTCAAAGGCAAAGCAGGGGAAGGTTCACCTTTTTATCTGCACCTCCGGGAAGGCTCCTGTTGTCTTTATCCACTCCCTCCCAGACACCCTTTTCACCATACACACACATACTCAGCTGCCATTAAACTGTCAGGCTTAGACTGTCAGGCTTGTGTTAACCAATGTTCCCATCCTGGGCTCCCTGGGATGGTGAATGGAGGTACTCCCCATCAGTGACATTTAGTTTATCTAGATCTGAAGAATCCAGACATCAGATATTACTGAAACAAGGCTCTAGGTGCTATGGGAGATGAGATGTGGTAGAAGATATGCTAAAAAGGAGAAAGGGGAAGACAAGGCAGAGAAGCTTCCAGGGCAAGCTTCCCACACTGCACTGTTTTGAGAAGTGCAAACCCTACACTGGGCTGGTGTCCAGCCTGATAGGGTGCTAGGTCTTCTTCTGACAAAGCCCTTCCTTTCTTCACTCTCTTCATTGGCCTGGAGGACACTAAGAGAAAGGGGGGAACTGTTTCAAGAGGGAACATAGAGGCACACATTTTTTTCAGAAAAGGACAGCATTCTCACATTGGGGAAACTCTTTTCACGTACAGTTCTCTAGGGTTACATTTTTGTACACACAGAATGCTGGGGGTATAGTTAGTGAGAAGCCATCAGATTGGTGGGTAGCATTCTGGGTTTAAGGCAACATTTTGTGAATGACCTGAGGTAAGTGTCTCCTCTGCACTTAGCTACCCTATGTATCTGTAAAGTAAGGGGGCCAGGCTTGATGGTGTCCACAATGCCTGAGGTCCTCAGAAATTTTCACAGGGAGGTATCTTAAACTGGAATCCACAGACTGGTCTTCAAGTGTGCTTCAAGTCATCAGCAAGCCCCTTAAATTGTATGCACAGTTATGTGTGTATGTGTGTGTGTGTGTGTGTGTAACAGAAAAAAGAGTGTGCAAAACAAGGAGAGACAGAGAGGTCACAGCTTTCAACCACAAATAATCTCAAAGGGATGTACTACCCCCAAAATGGTCAGTGGACATGCTGTGGGGGATGCAATGTGGCAGAGTGATGATGAAAATTTTTGAAATGGGAGTGGTTGGGGGGAAGAGAGAGTTAACTCCCAGTCACCAGCTGCCACATCGACAAAGCCTAGAGCAAGGGAGTGGAGGGGGGAAGGGAGGGGGCCTAGAGAAGGAATCAACTTTTGAAACTTTCTCCAAGTCCCACCCACTGAAAGGCTCTTCTCCGCCACGACTCAGCTCTGAGGAATGCAGGTTGCCACGGTAACCTTTTTTTCAGGGTCTCTGCCTGCTAGCTCAGAGGGGACGCTGGGAACAATCAGAACATGAACCTCAGTCTGAATGTCCCCCCACTCCACTCTGCCCAAAATACAAGGGCAACACCAAATTCTAGGCACTGTCCTTCTGATCTGCAGGGATCCCAGGACTGCTGTGGGGCACTGATCACCTCCTAGATAAAGAGTGTTTGAAGATCTGGGTTTTAGTTCTAGCTCTACCTAGAAGGTGCCATTTGACTTTAAACTAATTACTTCTCTTTTTGAACCTCAGTTTCCTCATAGGATAAAGAGTAATAAAAGCAGCCAGCTCAAAGTGACATTGTGTGGAGGAAACTGGATATAGGGTATAGGGAAATGCTTTCTAAGCTGTGGCAAAGTGTCTCAAGCAATGGGTGTTTAAAACTGATAGCTTATGACACCCAAACCCACTGTCATTGAGTCGATTCCAACTCATAGCTACTCCCATTGGGTTTCCAAGGCTGTAAATCTTTACAAAAATAGATTGCCTCATCTTCCTCTCGTGGAGCAGCTGTTGGGTTTGAACTGCCAACCTTATTGTTTAACACCCAAATTCCTTACCCACTTCGCCACCAGAGCTTCCTTATGACACCAAAAGAGTTGGTGAAATCCTTCCCAGTTTTTTTCTCTGGCAGATCCATCATCTTGAAGTTTGTATAGAACTTCAATTTCCTAAAAATGCTGACAGACATTATTTTCTTAAATAATATTTAAGGGGAAAAAAAAAACCAAACTCATTGCCATAGAGTCAGATCCAACTCATAGCAACCCCTCCTTGGGTTTCTAAGGCGGTATCACAAAGGAAGTAGATTGCCCAACCTTCCTTCCAAGGAGTGGCTGGTGGCCACCAGCCTTCTGGTCAGCAGTCAAATGCCTTAGGCACTACGCCACCAGAGCTCTTTTAAGAAAAATGCTATTGGTTAAATTTCAGTTTGATTGTGGAAAGCTCATTGGCCTAGGGTGCCAGCTGAAGGAGGCTCTAACTCACTGTGTGGACATTGAGGAAGACTGTTATCCTCTCTGGGCCTCAGTTTCCCAACTTGTTAAATAAAGGCTCTAAACTTGATGGACTCCAGAAGCTTTTCCAGCTCTGAAGTTCTATAAACCTAAATCCCCGAGGCTGTCTTCACTGGAAGCAATGCTGGCTAGTATCTTTATCCCCTCTCCCTCCCAGCAGCTGACAGAGAAAGGAGGGGCTCTGGGATCTTGGTTGCATAATAATCCTGCGGAAATCTTTACCACAGCAGATACTCTGTCAATCAATACCATGGCTGGGGGTTGCTATTCACAAACAGCTTTCCTTGCTGAAAATAATCTATAAATAGAAAAGGATGGTAGGAAAAAGAACTGAGAATCTGAGGTAAATGGTGGACTATTTGGCTTTTGAGGTTTTTTAGATAGAAAACAGACATAAACAGGGACAGACACCAACCCACAGGGATACAGAGTATAAACATTGATTTCACCAAGTGCCCACTAGCACAGCTAAAAATAAATGCATCGACACATGTGCAGACACAGAAAGCTATCCACCACATGCCTCTCCCTGAGCCATACCTGTAGGCACAGGCAAGTTCTAGATACACATCTTGATGTATATGCAAATGCTGACCCTCACATACACAGGCCAGAACTGACAGATGTTGAGTCTGATGTCCACAAACAGATACCTGTACACAGTGCTCAGAGGTTCTCATTTTTGTACATAAGTGATATAGACAGGCAGTCAAATGTGCAAACATTAACTGTGACTACAGTCAGACGCAGTAATAAGGAGGCAGGCATGGAACAGACACATATACTGACAGACCACCTGTTATATGTCACAGAGAAATTGAGGCTCAGAAAGGGAGATGACTCACTCAAAGTCACACAGTAAGCTGTTGTCTGAGCCAACCTTCCAGATGCTTGCTTACTTTTTTTTCCTCATGTCATTAAGTGTGGAATCATGCACACACACCTCCCTCTATAGGCAACAAGCCCCATGGACAATAGCTAATGAGCTGTACTTTCTCTCCCAAGATAGGGCAGTCCAGCCCACCTGACACTGTCATTAAGCCCAAAAGATCAGCAGCATCTGGCTAATAGGTGGCTGCTTATTTGCTTCTTGTTGGCTGCCTCCCTAATCTGTTTTAAAAGGAAGGAAGGAAAGGCTGGAGCTGAGCATTCCACTCACCCTAGGGATTAATGAAGCCACTTCCTCAGTAACACAGAGCCTGGGTCTGATCTTTCCCTCTCCCTCCCACCCCCAGGCCCAACTCTGAACCCAGGGCTAGCTGGGCTGAGGAGGGCCAGGCCCAGCAAGTGGTGACTGGACAGAAATATTTAGCAAAGCAGCCTCCTCCTCATCCAGGAGATGATCTAGACAGGAAATTAGCTTTGCCCTCACCCAGCAAGCCAACTCTCTCTAGAGCTGTGTTCGTTCAGGATCCTCTCATTTGAAGATCTCTCGGTGTCATTTTGTGTTAGACATGAATTAGGATTCCAGACTGACCTGGTGGCACTGTGGTCAAAGCACTGGGCTGCTAATCAAAAGGCTGCTCTGCGGGAGAAAGCTGAGGCAATCTGCTTCTGTAAAGATTACAGCCTTGGAAACCCTATGGGGCAGTTCTGCTCTGTCCTAAAAGGTATCTATGGGTCAGAATAAACTCAATGGCAGTGGTTGTGTGTGTGTGCATATGGGTCATTTTGTGTTAAACATGACATTAGGATTCTAGCCTAATCAGCTAAAAAAAAATGAACATCTGGAAGTTTGGCTCAGACACCTGGTTGCTGTATGACCTTGAGTAAGTTATTTTCCTTCTCTGTGCCCCAGTTTCTCTATCTGTAAAATAAGAGGTATGGCAAAGAGTTTCACATGGCTTGCCAGCACCAATCCATTGGTAGTGACTGCCAGTGGAACTGTTCAGGATTCTAAAGTCACTCCTGGGCTTTGGGGAAAAAGGACTTATGATGGATTCATAATGTCTGTCACGTGCACAGAAGGGGCAGGTGGAAGCATATGTGCCACGTAGTTGCAATCTTTGGCATCTCTTGAGCCTTTCCAGATGTGACATCCTGGACAAAAAACTCACTGCCATCAAGTTAACTCTGACTCATAGTGACCTCTCCTTGGGTTTCCGAGGCAGTATCTCTGTGGAAGTACATTGCCCAGTCTTCCTTCCGAGGAGTGGCTGGTGGGTTTGAACCACCAGTCTTCTGGTTTCTCATCT